ACGGGTTTTAACAAAGACATTCAGTATAAACTAGTTTCAACTAGTTAAAACGCGTTCTAACTAAAACGGGTTTTGACTGTAACATATATTGACAAATAAGTCGATTCCCCTTTAAAAAAATGAGTTTACACCACACAGCTTACAGAGTCATTTTTTTCAGGAAGGGAGTCGACTTATCAGATGTCTAAACGAGTGTGGCAAAGAAAATGTATGTCGATTTATTCAGTGGTGACGAGTTAAACGATGTCGAGTAAAGCGCAGTTTTTTAACATTAATTCGTATGAAAGTCAGCAGGGACCATACAAAACTTACGACTTAACCGGCGGTGTCTGGTTATACCTATGACGCCATATGCGGACTCGACTGTATTATTATTTAACGAATGCTTGATATTTCGAATCCTTTTGCTATGTATTGAATATTATTTTTCAGATGGCCCAGATTTGGAAGACTCGCCATAATTGCATCAATGTTAACAGGGATTATCATGTATATAGTTGATGTAGCTTCGAACAGATATTACGTGATGTTTGGAATACCTGCGGCTGCTGAGTAAAAACTTTTAATTTCTTTATGTTTTGATAATGGATGGTTGTTACTAAAAGAAACTAATTTATATTTTCGTTTATTATTGTAGGGAAACCTATAAATATTTTGCTTATAATTATCGTAAACCATATTATTCCCATCTCGGTGCTTATTGTTTTGGTGCTTTAATTGGAGATATATTAAGAAAGAAGCAACAGGTCACATTTGGAAAAGTATACTAATTTTATTTATATCTTATGTTTATTATTATTATATACATACATATAAATATATATAAAAATCAAAAGCTATTGCAAACAGTTATATATCATAACCTATCCCAAATGCTTAGCTAATACAATATTAAATATTAAAAAAAAAAAAAAAAATGCTGTAAATACAAGTAGTTAGTTACATATAATAATTATTAGATATTTAGAAACACAAAACTGAATCTATCAAGAAAGAATTAATTAATTAAATATATCAAAATTCTAAATTTCATTTTCAAAAACTTAAANTATATATGACAAAAGGTTTGTTCAAATAGAAGTTCCTGACGCATGCGTATGTCATTTTGCAATGCGAAGAATAATGTGCAGTGCATGCTGGTTCTAAATCAGTTACAGTTAGCGACTAAGGAGACTTGGATAGGAGTAACGCGAGTGACCTAGCTCTATTGGATATTGGAGGTGTGCATATATATATATATATATATACGAATTACTATTTTTTTTACATGGGCATAATTCCGGCTGTTATTTTAGTCATATTTTAAATGTTTCTAATGTATTTAATTTAAAGAATGTAATATTCAAAGGATGCTTGTTATTTTGAATATTTTAGTTTACTAATGGTTGGCCCTCGTACATCGCATTTTCTCTTTAACAAGATTTTTGCTTGTCATCTTTCTTACTCCTTTCGAAATTAAAGTTCTGAATTGAAATAACCTGACATCAGGTATATATTTATCGATTTTTCCCTAAAATTTATCGTTTAAGACTGAAATGATGAGTGAGGGCAACCTAGATTCATTTTACCTTAGTTTATCATCTGCAGTCTTAGTAATTTGATAAAACTCTGAATTAAGTTTGCGTTTATCAGCAGTAGAATGAAGGAAGGAACTTTGAACATTAAAGTAATTTCGATGAGCCCATATCTAAAAACTTGGCAGCTCATATAACATGTCTTCTTTCTTGCTTATTTTTTGCTCTTTTGCGGGATGGTTGAGTCATCGGTTTTGTGGTGATCTGTATTTAGAGTCACTTTTAACACTCGAAAAACTTCAAACTCTTTTCGCTTTGTGGGCACTAACAGAGCATATTTTTAGCATGACTGTTATAGATTCCACCAGAACCACAATGGGGCGGCCGGGAGGTGATAGTCAGGGACCGACATATCCGAACTGACCACCGGGTTGGAATCCGGACAGAGGGACCGAATTCCAACTCGGGTACCTCAGAGCAGTAGGCTGCCAGCTCGACCACTTGGCCATTTGGCTGTCAAACTTGAAAATAGTTAGAACATAATAAAAGAATTGTTAGACTGGTGTACAAATATTTTATGTTTGGTAAACTTTTACTAGAAGAAAAGTATATAATTTATTATAAAGTAAGATGCAAACTTATTTGTATAATTCTGTAATTAAGATTTTGACTATTTGAAGTAATTATTTTCACTGAAACGAGTTCAAAGCCTAAATTTTGTTAATAAAAATTACAGCTCTGTTGCCGGCATTTTCAAATTATTATTCTGAGCAAAGAATTCTAATGATGTACGTCGCTTGTTTATTTTTGTCGTGACTTATTATGTTAAATTGTGATGGCTGTTAAATTAACACACCATACACTAATAAACCAAATTAGTTCCCTCTTGAGAATAACACAGTAAAAATCTACAAACGAGCTGCATATCTTTCTCGGCTAATATTAGATTCTATTTAAAAATGACTTATATATTATTAATCATTATAAATAAATATTTAATAACAGTGATAGATTTTATGGATTATTCTTTGTATTCAGTTAACTTTATTTATACATTTTTAGGAAAGTGTTATTAGATTTTTTAAACTGTAGATAAATAATCGTTCGTAAAAATAACGAACAAAATACAGCGATATCGCGGTACTCGAACTGTTCCCAACTCGTAAAATTCGGCATTGCAACAAAAATTCTAAAGAAAAAAATTGCTCGGTACTTTACTGAACAAGCTCAGAGAATGGCATTACTTTATAAAAAACACCATTGTTTAGCTATAATTTACATCAATGCGTAACACAATACTTTTTATTGTGACTGTCAGTTTAATATTGATTAAAAATAAAATATTCATTTCTTTAATTTAATAAACAGTAATAAAAAAATGGTATACTTTTATTAAATTTTGGAGCACAACCCTATATTTTGCACCTGTCCTTAGTTTCGTATATGACGGATTCGTGTATATGACGTCTTTTCCACGTAATAAATTCCAACACTTACACATTTTCCATAACGTATAGTAAAATCTTACGAATAGAATAAATCATTGTATAATAATTCATGGCATAGAGGAAAACAGATAAATTTGCATTCATTAAATATTTAATATTTAATAAAGTGCACGCTGCTAACGAGATACATTGCTGTTCACGGGAGTGATGTTAGTAAATATCAAAATTTTCATTCAAGACAGATTTCTTTATATTTTTAAACATTTATTTTTAATTCACAGAAAGTAATATCACAAAAAGTAAAATTAAACCTTTTACGTATTCCGTTTATTAATAATTTTCCATTTAAATTCATAGATTACAAATTTACTTTGTTGGACCGGATGCATCGTCCTAATGAAATTATCCGTTTTTGGAGCGCATAGTTTAAAGAAAAATATTTTGGCCAACGAAAATATAATCATCGCCTTTCAGTGCATTGCTCCATTTGCTTGGACCGTAGGATTAGCTTGGTTGACAGTGGCTTGTGTCACAGGTCACGGAGGTAAGGAAGTGGTCATTATCTATTGTTTACGGTCGATTTTTTTCATCTAAATATAGATATGAATAAATACATTTACGGCGTTTTTTCTATTTTATTTTGTGTCAAATTTACTATAACTGGTAAAAAGCTACTTTTTAATTTAATTAATTGAGTTTTTGAACTAAGTTTAAAGCTTTAGCTGAAATAAAATACAATTTCTTATCGCATGTCTACTATATTAGTATAAATAAATATGATGAACGAATTAATTAGAATTAAATAGATAAGTATTTCTTTTATACTTATCTATTATAAAATAAATTATAGGCCTATATCGCCTATCTACTATATTTAAGAAAATAAATACAGATTACCGATTTTTGTAGTTATTTAAATTAATAGCCTGAAATTGTACTTAGTTCAGTTTAATTTTCAAACTGTTCTGACTAAAATAACTCGATTTTCCTTATTTTCCGAAATAATCTGTATTCGTTTAAACGTTTTTATTTATTTGTCAGTTGGAAAAGATTAAATAATCACTTTACCCTAAACTGTGTTTTGTGTACATTTACTTTTTTTTTTTTTTTTATTAAAGTCCAATCGTCACGTTATAAAAATTTTTAATTTTGTTTGTTTATTTTCAGGAACCGTCAATCGTTTGTTATCTCTTCGTATTTTTGTGGTGTTAAACAGTCTGTATGTTTGGATATATCTACTTCACGGTCTAATTATCTATTACGTTGTTTGCAGTATGAGACAGGCTACAGGTGTTTTACAGTTTAATATGGTAAAGTTGAAAATTTTCATGTTACGGAATACACTATTTCATCTCACTTTTAATAATGTGCAAGTTGAACTATGCACTTCCATTTATGTGGTAATTTTACTAATTCTTAAGTCTAGGACATGTAAGCATAAAAATTTGTATAAGGGTAAAAAATAGGTATACAAGGCAAACAATATGAACAGTACTTGAAAGTTAAATTATTTGTGATTTCCATATTTATCCATAGAATTTTCGGCATATTGCATAATTTTTAAAGTAACTAAGGAAAGAAACAGATAAAAGAATTTTCTTATATTTTATTACATGTTTTTCGAAACTGTTTTTGCGACAGACTACAGTTAATTTTTCCAAATTGTGTGACGCTGTTCGTCAATAAAAAGTTCAGCATTCACGATCGGTGTGGTCTCCCTTACGAGAAGTCACAAACGATGAAAAAAATGTTGTGCACATGTTTGAATGGGCTTTTTATGTACTTTTACCAGTCTTCTGGTGGTGATGATTAGTTAGTTCACTTTCGGCCGCAACATTATTTTGTAGAAATGATAGCTTGTCTTTTCTTTGCTGTTTAAACGAGAAAAATTAACTTTGAACACTAACCAATGTGATTGCTGCATGCTTGATTGCATTAATTGTACTTAATGAATTTTTATATTCAGCTGTAATTGTGCGAGTTCCTGATTAAATTTCTGTAATGTTACTTAATCTGAAATTTTTTTNACCGGATGCATTGTCTTAATGACATTATCAATTTTTGGAGTGCATAGTTACAAGAAAAATATTATGGCCAACGAAAATATAATCATCGCCTTTCAGTGCATTGCTCCATTTGCTTGGACCGTAGGATTAGCTTGGTTGACAGTGGCTTGTGTCACAGGTCACGGAGGTAAGGAAGTGGTCATTATCTATTGTTTACGGTCGATTTTTTTCATCTAAATATAGATATGAATAAATACATTTACGGCGTTTTTTCTATTTTATTTTGTGTCAAATTTACTATAACTGGTAAAAAGCTACTTTTTAATTTAATTAATTGAGTTTTTGAACTAAGTTTAAAGCTTTAGCTGAAATAAAATACAATTTCTTATCGCATGTCTACTATATTAGTATAAATAAATATGATGAACGAATTAATTAGAATTAAATAGATAAGTATTTCTTTTATACTTATCTATTATAAAATAAATTATAGGCCTATATCGCCTATCTACTATATTTAAGAAAATAAATACAGATTACCGATTTTTGTAGTTATTTAAATTAATAGCCTGAAATTGTACTTAGTTCAGTTTAATTTTCAAACTGTTCTGACTAAAATAACTCGATTTTCCTTATTTTCCGAAATAATCTGTATTCGTTTAAACGTTTTTATTTATTTGTCAGTTGGAAAAGATTAAATAATCACTTTACCCTAAACTGTGTTTTGTGTACATTTACTTTTTTTTTTTTTTTTTATTAAAGTCCAATCGTCACGTTATAAAAATTTTTAATTTTGTTTGTTTATTTTCAGGAACCGTCAATCGTTTGTTATCTCTTCGTATTTTTGTGGTGTTAAACAGTCTGTATGTTTGGATATATCTACTTCACGGTCTAATTATCTATTACGTTGTTTGCAGTATGAGACAGGCTACAGGTGTTTTACAGTTTAATATGGTAAAGTTGAAAATTTTCATGTTACGGAATACACTATTTCATCTCACTTTTAATAATGTGCAAGTTGAACTATGCACTTCCATTTATGTGGTAATTTTACTAATTCTTAAGTCTAGGACATGTAAGCATAAAAATTTGTATAAGGGTAAAAAATAGGTATACAAGGCAAACAATATGAACAGTACTTGAAAGTTAAATTATTTGTGATTTCCATATTTATCCATAGAATTTTCGGCATATTGCATAATTTTTAAAGTAACTAAGGAAAGAAACAGATAAAAGAATTTTCTTATATTTTATTACATGTTTTTCGAAACTGTTTTTGCGACAGACTACAGTTAATTTTTCCAAATTGTGTGACGCTGTTCGTCAATAAAAAGTTCAGCATTCACGATCGGTGTGGTCTCCCTTACGAGAAGTCACAAACGATGAAAAAAATGTTGTGCACATGTTTGAATGGGCTTTTTATGTACTTTTACCAGTCTTCTGGTGGTGATGATTAGTTAGTTCACTTTCGGCCGCAACATTATTTTGTAGAAATGATAGCTTGTCTTTTCTTTGCTGTTTAAACGAGAAAAATTAACTTTGAACACTAACCAATGTGATTGCTGCATGCTTGATTGCATTAATTGTACTTAATGAATTTTTATATTCAGCTGTAATTGTGCGAGTTCCTGATTAAATTTCTGTAATGTTACTTAATCTGAAATTTTTTTTAATTTGCTGCAATTGTGCCAAAAACTGTGGAAAGACTGTTTTTAGTTTCATACAGAATATATGAAAAGTTTTCACCAGCAGCAGATTTTTGCTTTTCAGTTCAGTGTTTTTGTCCCCGGTGATCTCACCCCCATCCGTTGCTGTATCTGAATGAGCGTACAAGCAAGCCCCACCGACTTAAGTGCAATACCTCTTTCTACTAGACATTATGAACCATTATCATAAATATCAATATGTAGATTAGTAAATAGCAGTGATCTAATTATAATTCTAACTATATTAGTGAATTAGTGATACAAATTCACTAATATAGTTAAAAACCTATATTCACTTAAACTCTATATAAAAAACTTAAAACTTATATAACCCTTATATTAAAACCATATATAAATAAAACCTATATATTTAATAATTAGTGTAAGCATACCTATATCAAACCTAAACAAAACCATATATGTTTATACATATGTTAGGCGCAAAGACCGAAATCGCTCATTGAGCGAAAAAAACGGCCACAAAGCGATATTCGCGTCATGGCTTCTATGATATTTGACCACTACGCGTTGTGGTGATTAAGAAAAGTCATAACGCATTATGAACGTTAGCTGATGCAAACACGATACAGGATTATACGACTCACAGTGGCTTTTAACTTTAAAATATGGATTCTAGGCTCGAAAAATTTTTATTTACAATTTGTAATGTCTAACAACATTAGTTCTACAAGGTTTTCCTAGAAATTTAAATTTTCATACTTAAAAAACTTCATACTTAAAAAAATTTCAAACAAAGAAAATATATGGAGAAAAATACACACTTGTTTCTTTTGTTTTGCTAAAAAATGCTAAAGGTCTAATCACATATACTTGTAAGTGCTTGATATACTATACACGATAAAATAAAAATCAGCCGCTAAAGTTAAAAACCAATGTGGCACAGATTTATTATGGTTAGAAACCACCACACGTTCTGGATGTTAACTGATAAAGAGGTGATGATAAGAAAATAAAACTTTATTTTCATTGTGATTTATTTATCTTCAATCATCTTATATACGCGGGTAACGAAATTTTTCACCATATAGGCCTATAGAAATTTAACTTGGTTACTTTACAACATTTAATTCTTCATGCATTTTATGTTCTTTGAGCGACATTTGCATTTTTATCAATACAGTATAATTTAGAGACACATTATAAACCCTCGCTTTCTTCCAGATGTTAACATGGATGCTGAGCGAAGTGTTAATAAAGTTAAGGGTGCTTTCTCAATGTTAATAAATTTACTGTAGAAATTGTAAATTCATTACGAGCATAATGTCATGTTTAAAATAAACATGTTTTTAAACGTATATACATATAACTTATATGAAACCTTGTATAACTATACGTACATAATTATAACAATACCCTATGTATCCATATATATATATAAACCTCAGAATACCATACAATAAAGTATTGTAGAAGCCTCATAAAATTTATGTCAAACTTAACAAAGTTAATTAAACCTTGGGACCTTATCTCAAACTATGTACAATACATCAGTATATCATAAAACAATATAAATCTATGCCCCGTAAAATCATAAAATAAATATTAATAAAAACCTGTGTTATACACCATTCTTTTAAACTATCCTACGTATTAACACCCCCTTTAATACTTTGTATTACATGCCTGGTAATACCATAATTATGCACCATTATTGTTGTTTGGTATTGAGCCATATCACCTTCCTGCTCATCCTCATTGGGAAACAGAGTATAAGTACTTTGCTACTGAGGTTTAATTTAGTAATTACGTATTATTATATTTCATGTTTATCACATTACCAAGACCTAAATATACTTGAGGTTTTTTGTTAGAATTTTGAAATGCATACCCAATAGTTCTCGTATAATTTCGGTATACACATACCTTTGCCAACTCTCGACACTAAATACTTTTATCCTACTCTTATATATCTTTTTATAGTTAAGCTCGCAATCCTTTGGTACTGACACCTAGTATTATCCAAGCACACTTTATATACCCTTCTCCTCTTATACATTTGCTGTTTTTGGCTTTCCATCTTATCACAACACCACTTAGGAGCTATTTGTCTTCTTTCCTTTTTTAAGAATTGAACTTACTGTAGGATTCCGGATACTACACCGTATATGGGTGCAGTACTGGATAGCATTGTACTGTCCTCCACTACATCAAAAATTTTAAAGATAAATTTTGAACTAGCTTATTTCTAATTCCGCGCCAATTTTCACTATTAAAAATCAAAAGTAGATGTACACTTTGAAGAATCAAGTATGCTACCACCTCACACTCATACATAATCAGTTTATGCTCACTAGTAATTTGATTAATTAACAAATTTCCAATTGTTTATGACTACATCATGCATAGTTAGAGTCAAATCAATATAAGAGCAACCTCTACTAGATACAAAAGTTAAACCTGCCTCTGAAACATTTATGACCACCAAATTCCACTTAGCTTTGGTTTTTAAAACCTGACTGAAAAACCTCTTTTGTCGGTAGTCTGACACCAGTGAATAGCTTTAGCATTAGTATCCATTCTTATAATAATGCTCTTTCCATACATTTTCCACAGAAAACACGACAGTTTGCTCAACCGTTATAAATCTCAACACAAAGTGGAAAGTATGAACTAGTTACATACACAATATAATTGGATTGCTGTATGTTAGATTTTAATGCAAAAACGTCTCTGTAATCCGAAAAATTATGGTAGACTGCAATTTTCGGTTAGAATTATAATTTTATTCTCAAATTGAACATTTTTACATAAGCATTTCGGACTGGTATAATATAATCGAACCCCTCCTCAGTGCTGTTTTGAAAAACAATAAAAATTCATAAAATATAAAAACCAAAAGAATTTAAAAATGAAAACAAATATATTATCAGAAATATTATAACTATCACTTATTATTTTCAAGTACATAAATTAAAAGAAGAGAAAGAGAGTACACCTCTTCCTTACCCAGACTTATATCTAAATGTAGATTGTAAACCGGTATTAACATACATTGGAAGATATACATAATTTAAAGACAATATCTTTAAAAACGAACAATGAACTTACATTATATAAGAACAAATTTTCCTAAAAAACATGAGTAGTTATTGTATATGCTCAAAGAGTTGTATAAGTATTAAATGTTCATATAACAAGAATACAATAATGCTAAAAAATAAATAAAATACAAAAATATATAAAAAACGTTTTTGTCAATCGTTAGCATAGATTAATAAAGCTGTATTAAACTTACATTTTTTTTTGTACTCTTAAATTACATTTATAAATAAAGGTATACAGTGTCTATACATATCAATCTGTCTATAGAACTTATCGCCAACATCAAAATAGTTTTTACTATATGCAAATTGTATTAAATCTATTAAAGTTTTATGTATATTAAGTTCAACTAAACTGCTTTTTATCAACTCCAAATTTGTACTAATGTACATATTCTTTATATCTAAACTCATCAATCTATCAGTTATATCTTTGTTGAATTTTATAATCTATTAATAACGATATCAGTATTTTTTACACTTTACATAGAATTTTCTATATATTTTAACTGCTGTTTAATGTAATGTTCTGAATTATAAAAGATGGAACATTTGAAATTTACAATAGGTCTAAATTTTTCTTGTTCTTTGTGAGTTTTAAATCTTCTATTAAATTTTGGAATTCTATAATTTTTGAAATAAAGAATATAATTTTTTGTCTTTATTGCTAACGTTATTATTTAGATAACTTTTTTAATCAGTTTTGTTAATTGCTTTTTTATTTCCTCGTACGGGTTATTTTTTAATTGAATATAATTATCATTATTGATTTGTTTGATGGTTTTTTATTTGATTATTATTGTCTGTTATTACTAATTGTTTAACCTTGTCAGCTTTTATTATTGTAAGATTATTCCTTTTAAGAAAACCTGTGACATACATTATGCTAGTTTATATTTTCTAACTTTATGCTCATTGTTTATGAAAAAGTATTAAAAATCTATAACAACAATTCAATTTTTGTTGGTTCATGACACTTGTTGGTCCAGAACTTAAGCCTTATTAATTCCTGTGTAGATGTACAGAGTCTGATATGTCAGAAATATAAAAAATGATACATGGTCTGGTAATTGATAATAAACTGCTTAAAGCACAGGCTAAAAATGTGGGTGACATTAGAAAACAGCTGGAGAATAAGTGTCTAAAGTCGATATTTGTCTTATGTCAAGAATTGTCTAGTTTTTCTTAGCCATTTTAACATTACTTATTACATATTGCACTTCACCGAATATGGGAAGATTGTCTCTAGCCACTTTAAATAAGCTAGTTCTTCTTTTATACTTATTCTCATGTTTTCTAATGTCACCCACATTTTTAACCTGTGCTATAAGCAGTTTATTATCAATTACCAGGCCACGTATAATTTTTGTACCTCTGACTGATCATTATTACAGTACCCTAATCATCACTCAAGGCCATAGCTTTGAGTGATGATTAGAGTACTAAGCCCACCGCTACAACCAGGCAGATGTGCTTAATACTTATATTGGGGGACTCTAGCAATATAATTTTGAATAGTTCCAAAAGTTTTCGCACTTATCTCAATGTATGCTTTAATTGAGCGGAAAAACATTGCAATTTTTGTTGATCAATTAAAATACTTCTTTTGTGGTCTTTCGATTTCACTTTTGAGAGGTTTTTCATAACTGATTACATATATTTTTTTACAGTGGATGGTATATTCGTTTGTTATGTTCTTGTCACTGATCGCTGCTCTGTTCTTCTTTGTGTTTTTCGAATCCCCATTGAGCAGTCTTCTGTCCAACGTGCTAAGAAATAGAACATCGCAAGAAACAGTAACTTCAAATCAAAGCATTACGGAAATGAAGATAGGCAACAATTCAAAAATTTTTGTTGTGTGATAAACATTGCAAATTTTATTAACATTACATATGTTGATAATATAAGACTCTGTTAATTAGAAAACTTTAAGTATATTTAGTATGATTTATTATGATAATGTCATATGTCTCGCAAGTGGCATAAAGTTCATCTTCACCTTTATTGCTGTATTTGTATACTTATATGATTTCTTCTTGTAAATTTGCTTCATACTACTTACATATGTAGTAATCTTTTTATAATTTTTCTGCCACAACGAAGGAAAATCTTGTAAACGCGGGCATCACAAGTGTGAACTAAGTGCCGTTCAGTGATATGCCAAAAATGTTTACCGTAGAAATTTTTAACTGTAAACATATGTAATTTTTAAGCAAAATACATATTATTTAGAACCTCCTAACAAGATATATCAGAAGAATAGCCGAAAGTAGAAGACCGTATATCCGAAACGTATATTGGCCCAGAAGAAATTTTTGAATATAGAGTGATGTCAATATATAGTGTCTACCTACGCATTTAGCTGTGACGGAAAAAACCAATTGTTTATCATGTTAATATAGAAGATACAAATAAAGAAATAGTTATATTTGATATATAAAACAGTGATAATTGAGGTATTTATTCTATATAATATATACAGTTATTACGTGATGTGGCTATCGGGAAATTCTGAAAAGCAGTGTTTGTCTGCTACCATAAGATTTACCACTGCTGTAATAATGTAATCCTTATCAAGCTGCAGTAATTTTTCTACCATAAGTGTAAACGAAAGTGTGCATGCACAGGAAGGTGTGAGAAAGTTGATAAATGGATGCATTGGTAACACTGTAGTCTCATTTTGCCTGTTGCTCATTCTTTCTGGATTATAAACCTGAAAATATATATGTATATACTGTACGTTAAAGAATGTAATTCTCCATCGAAGCTAAGTATCACTTAAGTTTATCCATCGACCTTCTGATACTCTATAGGATAAGATATGAATAGTTAACAATTATAATCCCTAAACATGTGAATTTCCAAATGAAATGGCAATGTAATAATAGTGGGTGATTGGTTAACGAACAGTTCGGATAACGAACATTTTCGCGAAAGGTTTTTATGATCGGACAACGAACACATGTTCGGATAACGAACCTTTACTGAACAAACATAAAAAGAAGCGACGGAAAATTACGAATACAGATTGATTTCCTCTTGTCTTCAGGTAACAGTTCAAAACCTTTCGGATTGCGGGAGACATCAATATCGACGATCAATCCGGTATATTCTGATTGGATAGTTTTCCTCGGAACTTTGAGAGTCTTCCTCGCAATTCCCGTCTTTTATTTTTTTCACAGACACAATTTATTCCTAGTATTCGCGAGTCTGTCAGACGGGCAATCGTTAAGCTTCGCGTCGGTTTATATTTTCGAAAGTATAATAACAAAAGTAGAGATTGGGCAGAAGATGTCTGACGTTGCTGGGCAGTATGGCTCGAACAAGTCCACAGTAGGCCGCAGTTCAATCTTATCTAAGAAAGATATTGTATAATCAAGAAGACTCAATCAATTAACTCAATACTTTTTAAAGGGGGCAAACACTTGACTTGTTATCTTTGATAAAATGAGATTTACACACTAAAAATAAAAATTTTTAGTTAAAAAACAAGTAAAATTATACCCTTTCTATTCCCGTCTATATGTTCCAGTATTCGAATGGGTGATGTAATAAAAATAGAAAAATTAATAATAAGATTGGCGATTAAAAAGAAAGGTAAAGAAATTTATAAGTTACGTAGGAAATTTAAGAATTTAAAAAAATATAATAGAGATAATAATATAAAAAATAATGTTCATGATCAATATATTTTAAATAAACATATTAAACTAACAGAAAAATTTGATTACCCTACTGAAGTGGAAAAAGAACCGATTAAGACATCAATAATTAATCTTACAAATGTTGAAATACCAGGTGATTATTTAAGACTTTTTTCTTTTGGTAGAAGTATGAATCTTCCAATGAATTTTAAGAACTTACCAATAATAGCAGAAATATTACATAAAATAAGGAAACTTCCAGCAAGTAAAGAGGAACGAGCGAAACTAAGAACAGCCATAAGTAAGGATTTGATTAAATTTAAACGTAAAAATAAAAATAGTGGTTATATAATAGTTAAAAAAGCTGTTAAAATAGTTAATAAAATGAAAAAATTAATTAAATTTTTTACTAAAAAACATATTTCTTTAGTTACGGCGGATAAATCAAAGCAGTTGTTGATTATAAAAGAGGAAGAATTATTATCTAAAAAATTAGAAATAATTTCATCAGATGATTATGAATTATTATCAAGAATTCTATTGAAGAAATTAAAAACAATCTTATTTAATGATTAAAAAAATATAAGAGTGAAATTTCAGTCAATCAAGTTGAGAATATTTTAAATTTTAATAACGTAAGAGAATTTAAGTTAAATGTAAGAATTAAAACACATAAACCTGGTAACACTCGCAGACATCTTGTGGATTTTAGAAGAACTATTTTATATAATTTGGAATGTTTTTAAAAAAAAAATTCTCAGATTATGGATAAATCAATTTATAGTATACAAAATACAGAAGAACTTATTAACGGATTGTTAAAAGGTAATTATAAAAAATCTTTTCGCATTATGAGTCTTGATATAAAGTCGATGTATCCGTCGATCACTCCAGAAATGATAATAGAAAGTCTTAAAATATATAACGTTCCTGATTATATAATGGAACTTATAAAATTTGTATTTAATAATAATTACTTTAAAATTTCTACGGAGTATTATAGGCAGAAGAAAGGTATGGCCAAGGGTTCGGTCATTGGACAAAAACTGGCTGATATCTACACGAATAAAATAAGTGAAAGAATTTCGAGTTTAACAGAAATTAAATATTATGCAAGATACGTAGATGACAGAATAATGGTTTATGATTCTCAAATAGTTTCATCTAAACACATTGAGAAAGATATTGAATCGAACAACTCAGCGAGAAAATATAGATACTGAAGTAAAACAATTGTTTAAAAAATTTCTGTTAAATGATTATCCGAAGTATATTCTTTGTAAGTGGTATAATTTATATTTAAAATGTAAATTTAATGTTAAAAAGAACATAGAAAATATTTCTTAAACATAGAAGGAGAGTCTGACAAGTTTTCTCGATAGGTGTTCCAGGTTTATAGTTAACTTAGAAAAGTACAGTCCTCTTTGATCTTAATTGTCTCACTTTTGATATTCAATGCGGGCCACATCCAGAGTTCAACGAGTGATTTGATTACGACAGGAAAGTTGTATTTCTGCTTGTCCAATGGCATGGTCTACATCGAACATTTGGGTCTCGAGCCGAACAAATAGCGAGTTTTTCTCCGCTCTTCGATGTATTTGGCATTTTGTATCCGAAGATTCTCCATTCCTTAGAATATAAGTTTATCGGGAAGAACTGAGTAGACCGTTTCTGGACACGACGGATCGATTGGAATGTTCAAAGAGGGAAGACGGCACACGTACGTAATAATCTGTTGAAAGAGTTACGAGAGATACGTAATAAATCGATGAGACCTTCGAGAACATTTACATACAAGAGACAGAACATTTTCATAATAGTTCAATAGGAATTGTGAAAGAGATATCAGCTGAAGAAAGAATAGGGATATCAGAATGGAATTGTCTTCTTGTCACGTGTTTTTCTTGTCCGTCATCTCAACACGTCGTTGTTTTCAAGGAAAATTCGGTATCAGCTCATAACTTAGGAAGGTAGATTTCAACGTTCGATTCGACACCAAATGTTTGTTTGTTCCCATCATTGTGTAACTTTAAACGGGAATATTTTAATGATTTTTGGTAATATAGATCCAGAATTTTTGTGAGACAAATTTTGCTGGCGATTCCGACCCAGACCGGAGCTTCAAACTACTCTGCATATTTTCTGAGAAGTGCGGCCTACTCTCCTCAAGCAAGCACCCGCCAACGACGCAAGGTACCTGCTATTAAATTCTACTGTGGTGTATTCTTCCATATAGATCAATAATGTGATCTATCTATATATATAATCGAGACGGGTTGATAATAATAATAATGATAATAATAATAAGTGCAGAGCCCAAACGGTTAGGAGTTGAAAGTTGAAATTTGGTGCACAGATAGGGTACGTCACGAAAACGCACACTAAGAAGGGATTTTCCGAAATTCCCTCCCGGGGGGAGAGAGACAGGATTAAGTCTTCTATATACATTATGGATACGAGCCCAAACAGGAGTTGAAAGTTGAAATTTGGTACACAGTTAGGGTACATCACGAGAACGCACACTAAGAAGGGATTTTTCGNCTTTAATAATTCATTAAAGTTTATTATTTTTAGGTAAATTTTTCGAGTATATTTTCAAAGCTTCACCTTATAAATCTCTACATAACTTATATTCGACGAATCTCGACGAAAGTACAAAATCGATGTGTGGTGTAAAATTTCTTCTAATAAATATTGTGGTGTTGGGACATTTATGCGTGGTAATGTTGTTTCCCACAATAACAGGTATTTTTTTTTACTGTAAGATATAATATTTAATATATATTAATATTTTTGCCACAGTGTATGCCAAAGGCTTGCCACCGTAACACAATTTTAATTGTTCTATTGTTTAGTCAGTTCACTGTCACAGCTAATATGGAAAATGTAATTATATATGTAATAATTATAATTATATGTCACTTTTAATTAATGTTTTAAAATGCAGATTATTGTCTTATGAAACAAGAAATATTTATGCCACAGTGTATGCCAAAGGCTTGCCACTGTAACACAATTTGAATTGTTCTATTGTTCAGTCAGTTCACTGTCACAGTTAATACTGAAAATGTAATTATATATGCAATAATTATAATTATATGTCACTTTTAATTAATGTTTTAAAATGCAGACTATTGTCTTGTAAAACAAGAAATTTCTACCTTATTTTTTTTTATCTGTTTAAGGCCGTCCATATATTACATAAGGGAGATTTAGGCCATTCTAGACCCTCACCCACCCCTGTGAAAGAAACCGTAATATTTTCTTTGATTCTCCCTCCCCTTCTGTATTTTACGTAATATTTCGGCATGATTTTATAGAAAGATTTTAACAAAAATAATTTTTTTATTTAAATAAAAATCGACCATATGATCTATCATTGTCCGATGTACGATCAACATACACTTATTCTGAAATTAGAAATCTTTACGCTTGGTTTCAGGTAGACATATCCACTGATAAACTATGTATTCTTAGTGTTATACACCCATAGGAGTGGTACACTTATTTTAATAAAAAACAAGAGAGAGAAATCACCACACGGCCTTTTTCTTATGATAAAAAATATGTAGAGCGTGAGTCTACTAGCGTTATTACTCTATCACGTCACACG